GTCTCTCTCCCAAATACGCACTGCTTTGCTTGATCTGAAGGAATAATGTTAAGGCATTGCAGGGAGAGGATATTGATGTAACACTACCAGACTGGCTGGTAGGATGTCATGACGGGGCACTGACTTTATTTAGAAATTCATTAAATGATCAGGTTTTATACAGATGAATGTTCAGGCTTTTCAGTCATATTCTATTTTAACCTAACTTTAAGTATTTTTTATTTAAATTGGATGGACAGGTTAAGTTTGTGATGAAGCTTTTTTTTCTTCCCTTTGCTTACTTGAAGACAGTGGTTGACTTTGAAAATTTTACGTACAAGTGCTTTTATTTCATGTTGGCATACTACCTCAGACACATGAAAAAGTTCAGTGCTAGAACTGTGGGATCTGTTCACCTCTGTAGACATGCGTTTCTGCTATATCAGATAGGATTATGAAGTGCACATCAAGGGAAGACTGGACTTCAGGATGTGTATTTGAGCCTATTTTTCGTGTGAAAAGTGGTGCTTCACCAGGTTATTCTGTCCTCTCGGAGGCAAAGCCTGGGCACGAGGGGAAGAATCTTCAGTTTATCTTGGTGTGTAAAATCTTTTCATTGCAGTCAACTGAGTTTTAAGTTGTTTTCTTCTGTTTTTCCGCTGTCTGTGGACGTACTGCCTTAAATGAGGATGATGCTATGGAAGGAGACAGTATTTGCACTCCTTGAAAGAGGGAAACTGTGTATTGATTCCTACACCCCTAGGTTATGATGTCCAACTAAGAAGTCTGCTAGCGAGTCAAAAAATTACGCCCTCCAATCAATTAAGTTTAGAAGTAGGGTAAGATAATAGGCAAATGCCTTTTTTAATAGATCTGTATTAACTGAGAGCTAACCTCTTCTCTTTTAACTACAATACTAGCTTCATGGTGAAGCATAAACTTAATTAACAAAAAGGACAAACTAGCTGAGGGACGAGTCGTAGTTACTTCTGAAGATACTTATTTTCTTCGAGTGATAGAAGTAACTTCTGCCTTTGGGGTGGACTTGCATTTTCACTTAGGCTCTTGTTTAAAACTTGTCAGACTCCAGCGACAATATGCTGATTTAATGGTTTAGTTTGGGTATTGCTGTACGATGCCTGGTGATCGCTCACGTACTTGGGTTGCAGCAGGAGTTTTTCTAAGTGGGTGTTTTATTTATCATAGCCAGTAACTGAGGCCTTGGAGGGCAGTGCAGGGAGTGTTATAGAGCATTGCATTCTCTATTGATCCCGTCTACTTCAAGACCTTAATGCATTTTAATCCCTTACCATCTCCTATATTACAAGAATAATTTAATTATAGCCTTTTTCCTTAGAGGCTGGGAGTCTGACAAAGCTGTGAAACTTTGGTCACGTTTGGGGTTATTTTTGTAATTTGTGCATTTATTAGCCAAGCTGGAAATATCTTGTAACAGATATCTGAGTAATGAATGTGGTGCTTGCTTTTTCTTTGGTGTCAAAAGGCAGTGTTTTTGTCATAGCTTGCGCCGCAAACCCAGCTGTCTGGGAAAGACAATAAATCTTCTGGAATTCTCTGTTTTGTCACTTTTGTACCCAGGAGCACAAGATTTTAATAAATATACTTCCCTATTACTAGCAAATAATATATTTTTTTTATAGATACTGAATCCTTTTAGGACTTTCATTGCTTGGCTTCTGTGATTCCAAGTGGATTTTGTATGGACAGTTGAGATAAAGGACAGCCTTCCTCAATTTCTGCTTATTTTCTTTTATTCTGTTTTAGAGAGGGTACACAGCAATGGTGCACTATGCCTGCCTCACAGAATTAATGTCTCCTCACCAAACAGAGCCAGCCTTTTCTGTTCCATGCAAATCTTGTATCTCAACTGCTTGCTATCTTTCTGTATTCTTATGTATGCTGTATTATGTCTTTTTTTAAATAGAGACTAACATGACAAAAATATTTTTTTTTCTCAGCCCAAGATGGCCTAATGCCCTACTTTATTTATTTTCCCATCCCAGTCCTTTTAAATATGACATCTTTGTGGCTTTGTCTTCATTGGACTTCCTCAATGGCATGTTGCAGGTGTACAGTTTACTGCACGTGTTTATTTTCTTGCACATGAGATTTGACGGCATATTGGGGGTTAGTAATGTCCATGATTAAGATCATAATGAGCTTGCAGATCCCCAGCCTACAGGTATTGCTATGAGTATGTTTGCTCATGCGTGGTCCTAGTAAGCATCTTGTGTGTGCTTTTTGCCTTGTAGCAGAAGTGAGTAAACAGCTGCATTTCTTTGCACAAGCTGCTGGAAGTAGTGGTGAAAAAATAAAGCGGAAACTAGTGATGTCCCATGCAGAATCTGTTGCACAGTTATTTCTGTGATGGTGAGCTGTCTACTTTTGTTCCAAAAAATGAATTTAGAACTTGTCCTGAATAGGTTTATGGATGTATAAAAGGGTTGTAAGGAAATATCTATCGGGGATATTTCTGATTATTACTTTTTTAAAATTTATTTTTTTAACCCCAGGATCATGTTAACTAGGTTTTTGGTTCATTTTTTTAAAAGAAGTTTTTCATAGGTTTGGATGAAAAGTGTATTGCACCAAACTCTTTAAAACTGTTTGTGTGCATTAGTATTGCAAAGAAAAAAGTGGGATCTCTGGAGGGAACTGAAAGCAGATTTGATTTACAGTAGGAGAAATTAAAGTAGAAGTGAAAGCCGCTTGTATGCACTGTGGCTCAATGCAAACCAGAACAAATCTCCGATAAGCCTACTTTTTTTTTCCACCCACAGGGACTTGTGCACCAGGCCCCACAGAGCACGTTGCTACACACAGTGTGGGGATACGGTCACACTGATGTTCGGAGGCTTGATTACTTCTGTGTGCTAAGGTGTTACTAAAAAGCTGATCTTAAGTTACTTGCTTGAGGCAGAGCTGCAGTTCTGTTACTGCTATTTTTTTGTCTTCTGTAGCATTGAAAATTTTAATCTTTAGATGTAACATGATGCACGTAGTAACGAGCAGGCTTTTGCATTTACTTTCGCTACCTGATTTTTGACCTGTCTTGTCTTTGCTTATGGGAATGCCTAGGAGTTGTCTGTCTTCCCCATAGAGGTACCTCACGCTGTAACCTCTGAGGAAGAGTGATTCCCCAGCCTCAGCCAGTGAGTGGGGATAACAGCAGTTGATCATAAACCTTCCGGAGTCTGTGGTCAAATGTATTCTGCAAACTTGCACAGGCACAGAAGATGATTTTTGTAGCACACTCTTCTCACCTGTGCTGTTAGCCCTGTTCAGGCTCCATGTGCAGCATCAGTCTGGCCATGGACATCCTAGGTGTCAGCTATGTGGGAACGTTTATGCACGCAGGTGGATGCGTGTGCTAGAACAGCTGCATTAGGCATGCATAGGGGTAGACATGAATGTATTGCTCCAACAGTCCTCATAGGCAAAGTGGATATATAGCAGCTATGCATAGTAATTTGTTTTGAAGTTCAGTTGGTGACATGGACTGAGGTATGACTTGCTGTGATTTGTGATTGAAGCTGCTTGCTGTTAAACTGTACAGAAGCAGAATCTTATATAAAGTTTATTCTAAAAAACCCTCTGGCTTGGAGAAGGAAACTTCTGCATGAAAGCACAGGATTTCAAGAACTTGCTTCCCCCTCCCCACCCAGTTACAAAAAGGTAATTGTTTGAAACATCAGTTCTTTCTGAGCATTCAGCTTTAGAAAAATTGCCAAGGCAGGTTTTGATAGCAAGTGAGACTGCTTTCTTAACTCTCCAACATACAGAGTTGCAAGCTAGTGATATCCTCTAATTTTCCATGAAGACTTAAATCCCTTTTGATGTTGATGAGGTAGCAGTATTAGGCAAATATCTCACTGTAATGCTTCTGATTGACATCAAGGTCCTTTCTTCAATTAGGACAGGAAGAGATGGTTTAAAAAAAAAAAAAAGTTGTGTTCTAGGTTTTTTTCAAAAAGAGTGTACTGCCCATGTACTACCCACACTTTCTTTTCAAATACATTTGACCACGAGTTAATTAAGTATGACTTTGTGTATTGGCTGATAAATACTAGGGTGCTCGTGTCTGGTTTGTTTAGCTTTCAGATACCTAAAGCAGGAGATGGATCACAGAACCTTATAGTCTGTTCTAGGTAGAAGGGTTTAACATCTGTGTTCAGGGATCATTTGCTGTAGTGCTAATAGCCATGTTATCCCGTTGACCTTTTTCAATACGTACCCTGAAACACTTAGGCAAATAGTTGAGACTTGACTGCTTTGGTGTCCAGCTAGTTTGCTTCTAACCAAAGTTTTGAGGATGTTGCTGTGTCGGGAATTATTCTGAAAGAATTTTCGCTACTGTTCTTCAACTGCAAGAGGAAATTGCACTCCCTCCAACTTCATGAGAAGCTAATTACCACTTCCTTCGGAAGAACATCTGTAGGGCTGTGAATGAACGAGCTATAACAAAAAAAGAACCCTACCTTTTGTGATATTCCTCCAGCTCCCTGGTTTCTCATGTTCGGTTTCTATTGCAAAGCCCTACCTAGCCTTTCTTCATTTTAATATACTTCAAAGAAAACAGCCCTTTCGAGCCTGCTGTCCATTAATAAAGCAGCCGAATTGGGTTATCTAGCTTGCAACAAAGGTCTTCTCATAAAGGATCTGGTAGGTTTTTCCCCTATTAGCGATACAGGGAGAAACACTGTGCCCTTGCTTATTTGAGTCTCTGAACGGAAAAAAAAAAAATATGGGGAAATATGAATTGGGGGAGGAGTTAAATCTTTCTCCCACTCCCTTACACTTGGTTTAAAACCTGCCAGTCCATCTGAGTAATTCATCAATCACATAAACATTGACCCTAGTTTTTGGCCAGGGAAAGTATTAAATGCTTAGTTTAAAAATTAAAAACAAAATCCCATACCCCACCAAAGAAGGACATCTGTTTCTAACTTCAGCTTTTTATTTTTTTATCTTTCATTTTTTTTTGTTGGTAAATCTCCCAGACAACAGCAGTTCTGTAGAGAGTTTAAATATGAAGGAATGGCAGGACGGGCTAAGGGCACTTCTACCGAACATTAACATCAACTTTGGTGGACTGCCCAATGCTTCTTCCCCCTCCAACGCCAACCACAGTGTACCAACGTCCAACACTGCCACCACCGACAGCCTGAATTGGGACAGCCCTGGCAGCTGGATGGACCCCGCAATCATCACAGGTAACCGTTTCTCACTCCTTCAGCTCCGCTGGCAAACCATCAAATGGGTATTTGGCACAAACTGATTTACATCTGGAAAAAAAGAAAAAGTCAGTATGCGGTGGTCTCTTCCAGCTTCCATCCACAAAACTCAAGGGTCCAGGAATTTTTGTGGAACCACTAGGTATAACAAAGTGTCACTTAGGCCTTTGCAATGCATGCCCGGGACTTTTGCAGGCAGTCAGGAGGATCAGCGCTTATCTATAGGGTCAACGTAGGTGTCCCTTCTGCTGGATGGCATGTCCGGTATGTGCGCCGCTGGTCCTGAGGCACTGAAGGCATTGACTGGACTTTGTTATTTAAAAAGGGACGTACTCCACTTGTTTATAAAGCTCTCTTTTATAAGGCTGTCTGGTTGTGTTTCCCTGTTAGAGAGGCTGAAGCATGATTCAAGTAGGCAGAGTAGGAGGTGAAGCATGCAGTGTACTGGTAGTCTGGTGTGGTAAGGTCACGTCAACAGGGATGCAGTCCTTGCACAGGATGTTTGATAGAAAAATGTGTCTTATGAAGAAGTGCTCTGAGGGGGAACTTTCTCTTATCTGGATTTAACGATAAGTGTTTTGTGGGCAGGCTAATTATATATAATAATGTAAAATGCATTCTCTGTACAAACTAATCATGTTTTCTCACTGTTGCTTTTTGTTAGGTTAAATTGACCTCCTTCATGCTTAGCTTATTGCTTCTGCTCTGACTTGCCTGTATCCCTGTTTGTTTTCTTCTCTTCATAGGTATCCCAGCCTCCACAGGAAACAGTTTAGACGCCCTTCAAGATGACAATCCTCCACATTGGCTAAAATCTCTTCAGGCCCTCACAGAGGTGGACGGCCCCAGTGCAGCACCATCACAGACGCACCACAGTAACCCCTTCGGCACACAGATCCCTCTGCACAGAGCCAGTTGGAATCCCTACTCTCCTCCTTCAAACCCCACCAGCTTCCATTCCCCACCCCCAGGCTTTCAGACAGCCTTCAGACCCCCCAGTAAAACCCCCACAGATCTACTACAGAGCTCAGCGCTGGATCGTCATTAGGAAAGGAGGAAAAAGAAAAAAGAAAAAGAAAAAGAAAACCCAAAACGTTAGAAATGCAGGAAGTGTCCCACCCTGACTCCTCCCCATGCCCACCTACTGTTCCCTGTCATATCTTTCTTTCTGAAGAATCCAGTTCCTGATCAAACCTCCCCCCCAAATGCAATGCCATCACAGGGTCATGACCGTATCTTTTTGTTAAGTTTCTGCTGAGCCGGTGTTTGAAATACACTGTTTGAAATATTTTCTAACTGTTCTAAGGAAAAAAAAAAAAGAGAGAGAGAGAAATCAAAATGCAGCCTCAATGCTTAAGGAGAATATTACTGTCTTATGTCTTTTGCACACGAGTATTTCTGCCTAGTGGAAAAGTGTCAATCTGCAGCAGGGGAAAAAATGCAATGCAGAATCAAATGCAGAAACATGAAAAAGGTATTTAATTTAAATGAAGTTACTGAACATGTGGGGCAAGCAGTGGCCTAGCATTTATTTTGCATTCAGTGTGGCACTACACAGGGAAATTGCTATGTTTTTTTTTTTTTTGAAGGGGATTTTATTGTGTCAGTCAGTAAGAGTTTGACATGAAGTGTGTTGAAAGACAAAACACTTATAGCTATGAGTAACTGGCATGTTGCTAAAGAGTGGTTTAAAGAGGGGAGAATAAGATTTTTCTTTAATTTTGGCTTTAGATTTAAAGTAAACGTTAATGTTTTACAAGTATTCACAGATTTAATACCTAGCGTATACATAATATAATTATAAGCAGCTGAAACACGAGTGATATTTACTTCAGTCTTTCTGTCTCCTCTGTCAGTCTCTCTTTCTTTTTTTTTTAAAAAAAAACAAAGATTCACCTGATTAGGGCACTCTGGGATAGCACTGCATTGGGGCCACTTGATCACCATCAGGAGCAACCTCTGACCTCCTCTGCCTGCAGCTTTTACTTAACCCTGTAGTTTCTGGACGTTTGTGCAGTATTGAAAAGACAGGAAAAAAGAAACAAATAAACATGGTTATAACCTGACGCTAAAACTAAAACCAAGGAAATGTACCTCTTTCTTCAGAATTAAAACTAAAATCTTAAATAAAACAGAAAACTTGATGATGACTTCATGTTTGCTTTTCATTTTTTAAACTTGGATTTTGAATTACTGCATCTGGTAAAACCATATGTCATTACATGATTTATTTTTTTTTCTTCTGTCCATCTCAACTGGAGCTACTTTTTCATGGAAATACTGCTTTGCATGGTGACTTCTGCACTGAAGGGTGGAAGAAGCATACACTCTTTAAACGTTTAAAGGGATTGTTGTCTTTACTCATGGCAGTAGCTGGAGGCTGTCTGTCTCTAACCTTTGGTGGTGGTATCCTTTCAAATCTGAAGCATGAAAAACTTGTTTATACTTTCTGAATTAAATGCCATGTCACTTGGGACAGATAGCATGCAATAATGTGTCTGGAGGTGTAGCAGAGAACTCTGTTTCCATCAGCATCCTCACTTAAAGGTGTAAAATAATGTCACTGTGCAACAGGGGATGAAGAGCTCTTAACATACAGGAGGCTTCCAACAAGCTCTTACACTTCCAGCCAGAAATGAGTTTTGGTATTTGAAACCAGCAAGCTTGTGACTGGGGTGCTGGATTGGTGTGGCTCATGAAAGATGGCTGAGAGCCTGAAATGCCAGAAATGCCTGTGCAGAAGGGTTTCTCGCCTGGTGTGAGCTCTATAGGTCAGGCTGGCTGCCCTCCTAAAATGTGTTCCCCTGGCAGGGGCAAGGAAGGGAATTCGCACTGCTGAATTGTCAGCACCTAAAGGGGGGAGACTGGCCCTTTGCTGTGCGGGGAATGGAAGTGAGTCCTGAATCGATTGCTGGACAGGGGAACCAGGTGTTGAATCTGCATAACATGACTAAATACTCTGACTTCTAAAACATCAATTGTTGGTGATGGTCTGCTTTTGCTCTTCTGTTGTCTGTTGCTGTTGAGTGCTGCGTTTACTGTCCATGTGAAGGAACTGCAGGTACTGTTTTGGGACAGGCATGACTGCTGCAAATTAGTCATGTTCCCTCATTACTTGGGAGAATGCGCGCACCCTTTGATGCCAACACCCCTCAGGAAAAAAAAACAAAACAAAGTGTTTTCTTCACCTGGTCAGCCCCTGCACAGTCCCCCGCTGTCACAGCTGGGGGTGGAGGGAGAAGCGCTGTGACTGTGGACTGGTAGCACCCTCTCCTGTGGCATCACAGGCTGCTGACACTGGGAAGCAACCCAGTGGAAACAGTCTGCTGGAGGTGCTGGTGAAGATGCAATGGGCTTTTTGTTTGGTTGGGTTTTTTTCCTGGGTTGTGTTTTTTTTTTTTTTCTTCTCTAGTTGTTAGACAGGCATCTTCCATCTATAGCCTTTCTGTTCTAGAAGGGTGCCTTTCCTGACCTCGAAAATAAGCCAGCCTCCCATAAAGCAGCTGTGACTGCTTCCTACGTACCACAGCAATTCCTGAAGCTGCTGCCTTTTTCAGTTCTTGGGTCGATTTGTCTCTTCGTGGCAGTTTGGGATGTGCTGGGCAGGGGGAAACCTGTGTCTGTGGTCCGTTACCACTAGAAAACGGGCTTCAGCTGCTCAGGACAGTGCTTATTCCCTGCTGCTATACAATAGCTTCTGTGGTTGGCCGACTGACAAACTCTTAGCCTTAAGGAAAAGGTTTGCAACTAGAATGATTTTTCTCTTTATGGTGCCACCCCTGCCCTCTCCCCACCCCAGTAAAGACTTCTTGTTGGGTAACATTGGTGTTATAACATTAAAATATATCGGTGTTCAGGTTGATATGTGGGGGTGCAGCTTCTGCCTCTTTTAGCCTACTTTTATCTACCGTCTGATGCCGATTCCTGCATCCCCCCAGTCTGGAAGCAACCTGGTGTTTCACTGGGTTCAACCGGGTGGAGCACTGTTGGTTTCTCCCGAGGTTTTTGATGGTGATGGACCATTCCTGTGGCAAGAAATTCTGTACAGGAGACTTTACTGGAAAGAGAGGATCAGTGTGTCTGCTTTGTCCATGTGATCATCTCAGTGCAGGGTCTATTGTTTTATATATTGTGTGGACACGTGCAGCTCTTCCTTGGTGGTAAGCCAAGAGCAGTGCTTGAAGAAAAGGCTGGTGACCCAGGACTGGCAATGCGTTTGGTAGATGGTGCCTGGCAGAGATGAAATCGGAGAGAGGATGGACCGGGCTCCTCCTCCATAACAGATATGAAGGTGTGTTGAGGGAAGGGAGGGAGTGATTAGCCATGATCATGTTGGTACGATAATTTCTGTTGCGTTTCTCAAAAAATTTGCAATTCAAATGTAGTAATTTGGGGGTCAGTGGTGCTGGACTGATGATGGTAAGGGTTCCTGACCCTTCTTTTTATTTGAATATCTAAGAAGGCGATGTTTCCTTGGAGTTACAGCAAGGAGTATGATGTTGCCTTGTACGTAAGGCGAAGAGCCATTGTATGACTTCTTTTTCCTTTTAGAACTTCCATTTCCTACTTGCAAGTCAAGTGTGAGCAGGTATGTGGCTTTAGAAATCCAACGTCTCGACAGGGCTACTTTATCTATACTTAAAATGTCACTGCCAACTTCCATGACAGTTTTTAATCATGGAGTTAAGCAGTTTGTATTCTAGTTCCTGAACTCATAATTTTTGTTTTCCATCCTCTCCATTGTGGACTCTGGCCTCCAGAAAGTTTTTATCCGAGATGCTCATTTTATCATAGTGATTCAATATGTTGAATTTTAGGGAAAACGCAGTGTTTGGGTTTTGTTGTGTGGGGTGGCTTTATTGGTGGTGGTGAGTTTGGTTTTGTGTGGTTGGTGAGTTTTTTTGGTTGGTTGGTTTTTTACAGCTCTATAGAGATGGCCATGCTGCTGTGGAGACTTCTTTGACTTGAACACCTTTCTTCCTCTGGGGGGAGCATGCACCAATTTCCTCCCTCACCCTTGCAAGAGAGCTTAGAAAAATACACTTGAAAAAGATCGTAGAACAGTTACCTACGTGCTTCTTGTTCATCCCTCTCCTCAGGATGCGTGGCCGTTGCCTTAAGTTGAAAGGAGCTTAGATTTGGTGTTGGTCTCCAGCATATGTAATCCACTTCGTGGCAGGTTACTGTGTTGCCTGGGACTAATTCCCTCCAGGGGAAGTTGTGTGCTGGATTAAAAATTTACTGCTCAGAACTGAGATGTGTCAAGAAACATTGAGAGGTGGCACCGTAGCTAAAGGGTTAAGGAACTGGAGTTGACACCAGCCCTACTTGAAGGAGTTGTAGGTACTTCTTGAGGGGAGTGAACTCTCCTCCAGTCCCACTGACCAGCTGCTAGTGATGTGAATTTTTGGCGCGCGTACACAAAGCAAATAATGTGAAGTGCCATTTGTTGTGAATGTGTGTCTATTAAGACTAGTAGTTGCCATACATCTTCCAGCAGTGTGTTTCTATACGGCTAGCTATACGAGCGCTGTCTACTTCGCTGATGGATTATCAGGTGTTGGGGTTGAACATGGATGTAACTGTAAGAACTTGTGCTCCTCCCAAATCCCAGCATCTCTTTTTCCCTACTTTGAGACATTCCACTGAAGCGAAACAGCTCTCGGGTCCTCGTCTGTTTATGGATTTTGCTGTAAACAAAGCTTCCAAAGAGGAAAAAGGTGAAATATTGTCATAGCTTTGGGATCTAGTGCAAGAAATGTTGTAGCCTCAGTATGCTCTGATCTAAATGTGAGAGCACTGCATATGAGCAAGATCTTCATCTTCCCTTCTTTCTGGGGTTTGCCTCAGCCCTAGGCTCACTGTTGTTATGTTTTTGTGGCAAACTGAAGGCTCCTGAGATGAAAATGGTCAAATGAAGTTCTTGCCATACAAGTACAGGGAGGTAGAGCCACTTGCAGGGACGCAGGGGTCTGAGCTGCTGCAGGGTGGAGGTTTGAGGTGAGTTGAGTGGTTCTGGGCAGCAACAGATCTGTTACTGACTTCGCTGATGAAAA